AGACAAATACACTAGACCATCTTCTCTTATTTTGTCTTAATTTTAATCTTATTCTTGCATCTTAGATACTGAGCACAGGTTCAATTATGTTATACATTACAGAAATATAGAGACAGTATAAATATTGTCTCTTGTATTAAATCCATGATGTATGCATTTGCACACACACATACATACACATACTCACACAGAGAGACAAAGACAGACAGACCAGACAGACAGACAGAGAGTGAGAGACAGAGAGAGAACTAATCCAATAAAGATGCTTAGATTCAATAAAATGTCTCTCTAGGGACAATTGTACCTGGCAAAATCACTTTCAGCCTCTCATTTATTAGTACCCATTAAGCCTCTTAGTATTAATGTTAACACGGAGTGTTGTGTGGTAACAGACACAGGCTATGGAAAACAATTCTTAAAAGGAGAAGGCATGCCTGATGGTATGCTTTAGTAGACACTGTTGCTAGAGGCAACCTGATTCACTGATCACAAATAAAGTATTGATCAGAAAGGCAGAAACTTGAAGGACTTCTGAGGATGAAGATAAGAGGCTGGCAGAGACTACTCCTGTAAATACCAGGGATGTGGTCTCAAGGCTCTGTCATGTGACTCTCACTCTTTTGGTGTTATCCTAGCCTGCAGCAGAGAAAGACAGAGATTTCAGAATGAGCAGAGTGGGACCCAGAGAATTAAATGACAAATGAAAGCTGCCCCTAATATTATTTCAAAACCAAGTTGGGTCTACCGAAACAAAGAACTGGATGTGTAGGCAAGACTCGGGGACTCTTTCTTCAATGACCCCGCTCCTTTCTTCAACTGCTTTCTTCAGCGGCCCAGAATAGAACTTGCTGAACCATGTGCTCCAGGTGTTCTCAGAGCAGAAAGGCTCTTTAACTGAAATCCTGGGAGAGGGTGCTTTACTATTGTTGACTTGACAGAATCTGCAGTCACCTGGGAGAATGGCCTCTGGGCATGCCTGTGGAGGATTATCCTGATTATCTTAAATTGAGGTGGGAACATTAGGCATTGTGGGTGGCACCATTTCATGGGCTGACTCCTGGATTGCATGAAAAGGAGAGAGGAGGAGGAATGCAAGCATTCCTTCTCCTCTTTCTGGTCCTTGGCTATGAATGGGATAGAATCAGCTGTATTGAGTTCCCGCCATGGTGACTTCCCCACATTGATAGACCCTGGGAGCTGAAATCAACCATTTCCTCTTTAATTGCTTCTGTCAAAGCGTTTTCTTAAAGCAACAAGAAAAAGAAACTAAGACTGGACCTCAAAAGACATATCCCCACAGAGATAAGAGGATTTCTCAGCACTTCAGTGCCCAGGAATTACCCTGGCCTCTGGTTAATTAATCTCATCTGCTCATCTGAGATGGAGCTGAAGGTGAAATAAGAGAGGGCAGAGACAGAGAGGACATATGGCGTGTCCAGTACCACAGCTCACAATTGCAAAGAGAATGCTAATAACTGGGATGAAAACAAACAATTCCCTGGGTCCCCAGGAGCACAGAAAAGTCCCCAGAGGGCCTCCTGTGGCCAACGGGCTGCAGCGATGTCCCAACACTGGAGAGCACACACTGATGGGATCAACATTCCCAACAAAGGAAGGAGGTAATTTTAATCAAGGAATGAGGAGAAGATGAGAATTAGATTACCATAATTTGTGAGAAACGATCTATAAGAGCTTGTTTTTTTCTGATTAGGAGCATCATCAATAAATTAAAAGTTGATAGCATAAGGTTTCTATATGAAAGTGGCAATAAAGATGTTTATTTTCACTTAAGGCAAAAGTTCTAGTATGCAAGTTGTTTCACCTTGGAATGCTCTAGACACATGAGAAGTTCTGCAAAATATAAATTGATAACCTCTCTGTCTGTTTGTCTGTCGATTTTTATGTGTATTTGAGACTAGGTCTTGCTATACAGCCAAAGCTGGTCTCAAACTCACAGTCAGCCTCCTGCCTCTGCCTCTGCCATGCTGGGCTCTCGGGTATCTGTAGCACTTCCTCTAGCTTCCACCTGTGTTCTAACTTTGTGATTAACCACTACACACTGCCATCCAGTGACTACGTCCCTAATTGTAAGCAAAGGACCAAAGTAAGTAAAACCTGAAACAATTAAGGACTTCAACTAAACCTTCTCAGGCAGGAGTTTGTGGGGACTGGAGGGATGAGGCAGCGATTAAGAGCACTTGCTGCTCTTCCAGAGTCTCCAGGCTCAACTCCCAGCACGGTTCCCAGTTCAATGGCAGCCCACAACCTTCTGTAACTCCAGCTGGCAGAGGACCAAACTCCCTTTTGTGGCTTCTGCAGGCACAACAGGCACACATATGGTTCACAGATGTACAGGCAAAGAAAACATACATACATTTAAAAAAATAAAAATAATTTTAAAAAATTTAAAACGGAGTTTATATAGTTGTTTTGTTCTGTTTTTGATTCTGTGTGTATATTTACAAGGGAATGTGCTTGTATGAATATTTTTATTGCTATTCTAGATGATCTAAGAAAGCCTTGCTTGGAAACCTTTATGTTCTTTACTTGGAATTTACCTGCAACTTTAGAGCATTTTCTCAGGCTTAAAACTTCGAAGTAGACAAACTCTTCTGATGTCTTTAATATCTCTTGACTCATAAGTCACAGGAGGAACCCATGCACTCCAGTATAAACTTTTCAGAAGAGTTTATGAAAACATTCACTCTCCAGCATCTGCAGAGTGCACAGGTCTAAGGCCCTTTGAGCCACCTCTTGCTGGCAGTGATGGACTCTATTTCCATTTAAGAACATAGGAGCTGACACGGGCTTTCTATTTTTTACTTTAATGAATGCTATTTTCATTTGCTTTGCAGAGCCGTCCCCACGAAGACTAGTGACAAGATGAAGCGCCACTGGTTTCCTTTTTCCCTGACAGGTTCAAAAGTGCCATTCGGGTGGCAAATTAGACTTGGCTTCCCATTAATTGGTAAGAAGAAACTTTCTCTCCTGCCGTTCAGATTGTCATTGGCTTCTTTAGCACCCATTGAGGTTTTGTGGGTTTTTTACCATTGTTATATTTATCATTACTGCTGCTAATGCTGTAGGCAATCTTTCTGAGAAAATGATGAAGAGCAGATATCAGAAGCCTCCCTCAATAAGCATCTTAAAATAGCTGGAAACTTGGGGTGAAGAGCACATCAGTTGATACAAATTCTAATTTGGGGTAACTCTGGATCTGGGCAAAGAACTATTTCTGGAATTATCTTTAAAGAACTTGACAAAGTGCTGTGAATGATATTGATGTTGCTAACAATCTAAATGTAGCATCCCTGGGCTGGTAAGATGGCTGAGAGGGCAGAGGTGCTTTCTGCCAAGCCTGATGACCTGAGTTCAATTCCAGGGAACAGCAGGTGGAAAGAGAGAACTGGTTCCCACAAGTTGTCCTCTGACCTCTGTCCACACCTGTCCACACCCAAACAAACAAACAAACAAACAAAAGTAATCCTACTTTTTAGAATGCACCATCACTTATCAAACTCTTGTGAGATGCTAGTAACATAGTTTTACAAGTGCTCATTGAGTCCATAGATCAAGCCTTTGGGGGAAATTATTCCATGAGCCTTGGACAAGTAAGAGATTTCCCCAGCTTCCCACATGGATGGTCAAGCAAAGATTCAGTCCCAGAGTACACTTGAAAGAGCCACAGCAAACAAAAAAAGACAGAGAAAACGTTTGATCCTTCCCACTTTTCTAGGCATCCCAGTGACCAGAACTAAAGACTGACAGGGTGACTGGATAAACATGAGCCCACGAAGGACAAAGATAGACAGAAAAAGAGGATTCCCTTTTCTGACGCATATGGGTGTCACGGGGGAGTGTTGTTATTGTTGCTCTGTGTTTGACAGGCCAACTCCAGATAGTTTATGGAATAAAACCATGACAGTAAAGCAGAAGTAGCTGATGCTGTGTTGGCTTTGTAGTATGTCAAGTTGACTAGCCATAATGGTATTCCCCAGATTCCCCTCCTGGTATGTCCCTGTCTAGAAAGGACTGTGAGGAGAAGAGTTTCAGAGTGCTAGAGTATCCAGAGGATTTTCGGCCATTTGTCATATATGTACACCTCTCAATTATCCAATCAAACACTAGCGAAGGCACTACTGTGAAGGATTTTACAGATGTAATTTAAGTTCCAAATCAGTTGATTTTTCAGCTAATCAAAAGAAAAATTATCCTGGATGGATTATCCTGGCTTAATCAGGTGAAGGATCTTCGAGGAGAGACCACGCTCTCTCTGACTGTGAAAGATTCCAAGTAACAAAGAAGAACTGTAAAGCAGCCCAGCAGCCGGAGACCGTGACAACTCAACCACCGCTGAGGATGACACGTCAGAAGCATGAGAAAGCAACTGCTACCCTTTCCCTCCTCATCCCCCTTTCCTACAGTCTGCTCTGTGGATTTGGGGCTGCCTGGGCCTACATTCATCTGTCCTCTTCTGGTTGCTGTCCACCTGGGAGCCCTCCGTCAGGTGCAAATGTGGGGTACACTTGAAAACCAGCTCTCTCCACTAGTCAAGCATTTTTACATAAGGAATTGTCTCTCCTGGATGCTAGTGGGCACTGGCTCAGACAGAATTCTTATGTTAAGAAAAAATATTCAGGAAAAATTCATCTGCCTGAGTGTGAGGAAGAGGGAGTTCCTTTAATGAGGCAGTACACGTTACTATGTGGGCTATCAAAATGGAAACACCACAGACTGGGTGGCTTGATCAGAGACTTGTACACTCTTGCTGTTCTGGAGTCGGGAAGGTCAAGTTTCCAGTGAGAGCAGGGTAGCATGACAGCTTACATGAGCCTCCCTTCTGAGCTCACAGATTATCTTCACAGGATTCTGATTTGTTTGCTTGGCTTTTCAGTGTATGAGTAAAGACCCAGAGAGCTCTGCTGTCTGTCTCTTCCTCCTCGTCCTGTTTGATTCTGGTTCCGCCCTTATGAACTCACAGAACTTAATGACCACGAAAGGGATTCTAACTCAAAACAACAGCACATTAGGCAAGAAGGCATCAACTTATGAATTTGGTGAGCCTGACTGGGTCCATAACACCTATGTAGTAAAAGGAAAAGAGAAAAATGCTTCTGAAATTAGGGATGCTTAAGGATGAGCCAGTCTGGCAAAGGGTCAAGCGCTGTAGATACTGAAGGGAAGTAGCATTGTCCAGTGGCCTCAGCACATCTTTGTCTAATCTTGCTCTTCCCCTTTTCCTCCTCAACCATTGCAGAATGTCTTTTTGAGTTCACCAGATTATAGGTCAGTACCGGACCATTTGGTGTTTTTGTTTGTTTGTTTTTTAAGAAAGTCTGTTAATATATTTTACTGAAGTGCCACAAGGCAAACCAAGTTTCCACCACACACCTTACAGCAGAGCACACCAAGTGTTCTTGCTAGTTGTAACTCTTCTCAGTTTCACTAGGGTCCCCCTTGAGAATTCCCTAAAGTTATTCTTTCATTTCTCTATTTTCCCAAGCCCTTCTGTCCCTAACCTCAGGCTTTTATTTAGTATAACATAAATTTCCCACCCCATCTAGCAGGCTCAATGATTTATCAGACAACACACACCGATCTCCCATAGTGGAATTCCACTGAAATATTTTTCTCCATCTTGCTTCAGGAAAGCAGCATTTCTAAAGGAATTGATGTCCCCACAGGCACACAAACCAGCCAAGAGGACACCTCCAAGTAGAAGGTGGGCTAATTAAGGAAGAGGAGAAAAGGAGAAGGAACCACAGGTTTGGAGTCACTTGAGATAAGGACACATTGTTTCCTAAAGGCCAGACTGAATCATTCGGGAGAGAAGAAATGCAGCCAACCTACTGTCTGCCTCTGAAGTCACTAGCTCCCAATCAGCAAAGAGGAACAGACATCCTTTTACAGTCTGCTGGGACCTGGGCTCCTAGAACACAGTCAGTGCGGCTACCCCTGAAGGAACTCCCTCTGCTACTCATAAAAATGGCTAATTTAACACACCATCAAATTAATAATGGAACGTTGCTTTGCCACAGCACCCAGGGCCTCCCATTCATCAGCTCACTGTTGGGAAGTGCTCTCCGTGAGCCCTTTTCCTCATCATATAACACAAGCACCTCTTTCCGGGACTCACCAAGAATTGTTCCCGGTGGAATGCCCACACTTGAGGCGGGCCTGAAAACTATTTCGAGGTAATATGAGTAAACGTGCTATGCTAATGGGGCAGACGACACAGGAACGTAAATGTTGCTGGGCAGGGTGGCAAGTAACTGTAATCTTAGCAGTTGGGGGGCAGAGACAGGCAGGTCAGCTGTTTAAGGCTAGCCTCAGCTACATGGTGGGTGTAAAGCCATTCTGGGTTACATGAGATGTTTTCTCAAAAATAAACAAAAGAAACACGAACGTTTCCTTTGTGAGTTGACATCTGAGTTACAAAGACCCACCTTACCAGTGAGTAATCTCCAAGAAGTGACTTCTTGAGAATTCAGATTCCTTTTGTGTGTGTGTGTGTGAAATTATGATACTTAACTAGTTTCCTTTTAGATCTGTTCTGGATGAACAGTGACCATGACCATCATAGTGGCTTGATATTTAATATATGTTTAAACCATACCTGAACACTCCTCGAACTTTTAAAACATGCATCATCTCATTTATTCCTTACAAGAGCCCCATGAGAACAGCGTCATCACCATCATCCCTAATTTTTAATTTCCCCCCTTAATTATCTTATGTGTATGGGTGTTTGGCCTGTTTATAGTATCTGCACCATATACATGCAGTACCCACAAAGGCCAGTGGGGGTGATGGATCCCCTGGGACTGAGTTACAGATAGTATAAACTGCCATTTGGGTGCTGGTAACTGAGCCTGGGTCCTCTGGACCAGCAGCTAGTGCTTTTAACCACTGAGCCATCTCTCTAGCCCAAACACCTCTAGTTTTAAAATAAAAATTAAAAGTAAGGAGTGAGGACATTATCGTAACTCATCCAAATTCTGTGGTGGAGGGCTGGATCTAGGGTTTTAGCCAGGCAGTTCACCACTGCTGCTGACATACAGCTGTGAACGCCATACTGCACCAAGCCCTTAACTGTGAATGCCATATGGCACCAAAGCCTCTGAGATTGTTACCACAATGGCCACTGTTCCACTTCAGCCTTGTATAAAGTGGTGGTGGCAGACTTCTCAAAATCCTTTAGTGTTTTTGCTCAGGTTGCTGATGACCAGATGAAAATGTCTGTCCCAGGATGAATACAAACACAAGAGTAAAATAGGCAAAGATGTCGGGTCTACAGAGGTTTCCTAGTGAGATCGGAGCTTGCTTTACACAGCAGGGCTGCATAAGGGGTGGATTGACCACATGCCTGTGTGGTTACCAGGTGTTTGGAAGGGTCTGCACTTGGCTGTGCTGTGCAGTATGCTTTGATCTAGCGGGGCGGCGGGGAGGGGTGTCTTTGGCTCCACCCCTTCATATTCCTTTAAAAGCCCTTTATCAGAGACAGAAGGGGCTGGTGGGTTTTGACCCAGGCCCTCCCAAAGCTATCCTATGTTTCTACCTGTATCTATCTCTCCCCTCTATATTTCTATCTCACTTCTCCCTACTCAAGAGCACAGGGGGTGGGGGCTTGGGGGTGGCGGGGAGCAGGTCTCCCACACAAAGGTATCTGACCCACCAAGGATTAAGCACTTGACTCACTTGACTACGGCCATGTCAAGTGCTTGAAAACATGTCATTTTCCATTTTGACCAGATTTACTTATGAAGTACCTACAGGACCAGGTTTTAATGCCACTAACACTTTCCACTGACCTATGACTAGACAAGCTACATTTCCCCCACATAATTGTAGGACCCTAAGAGGGCAAAACCAACATTCAGAAGGATGCCTTTCATTTAGGATTTAGAGATGGCTCATGGCAACAGCTTTAGATTAGCTGGGGTTTGTACTTGTGCTCAGCAGATTTTCCATGCAAGAAGGCATCAACTTATGAATTTGGTGAGCCTGACTGGGTCCATAACACCTATGTAGTAAAAGGAAAAGAGAAAAATGCTTCTGAAATTAGG